TGATGGCGATTTGTTTTTGAAAATTTGTCTCTGTGTATGAAAGATATGAACACGCTTCTATACATGTCTTGATATTTTTTTGACGTGATTTGTACTAGTTATTTGTAGCAGGAATGTTACTAGTGCCGGGAGAAGTTGGGAAGGTAGCGGCTTGATAAATTTTTGTGAGCAACGAGTTTACGAAGCAAGTTCCGCCTAGCTCGAGCGATACAGCTCCGCGGATACAACTCGAGCCCCGAACAAGACCCTCCCCCCGTAAAGTTTCGGCCGCTCTGGCCGGCCGCGGGCCGCTCGTAGAAGCAAACGCTGACTCGTGCACTAGAAATCTGCACAGGAGGCTAAGAAAGAAGCAGTTTTCAGATCCAGAAAGCTAGCAGAAATTTGTCTGAAGTTCGTCAGAAGAAATGAGCCGGTGAAGTTTGTGAGAAAATGTAACGGAGCTTACTTGTTTTTCTGAAAATTTTGACGAAAGTAGCCGGCGCAAAAATTTGAGTAGGCGGCGATTTTCGCCGGTAGCCGGCTTGTTTTGAGAAGGCTGACCAATATGCTAGAACCAAACCTACCATACCAAACCAAACATGCAACCATTTTCTGTCAGCGACATCACATTTTACTCACAGATATCAGTATGCTATGGCTATAGGTTTGATTCAACTAATTACATTAAAAGAATGACAAAAAAATTGACTTTGAAAATACAGTTTTGCTGCTCTGAAACTGCATTGGATGCCATTGGATCCCCCCCTCTCTTATCAATTCCATGATCTCCTAGTGTAATGTACAGACAAAGCAAATGATGCAGCAATGACAACAAAGGCTTTCCTGTGGTATGATGGGTAGACTGGAATAAAAAAACACACACACACACACTGACAGTGTGCAGCACGCATATTTCTTTTCAGAGCATGCGAACTACAAGACCAGAAAATCCCTTAGTTTTTGATGCCAGCGTGCTAGATTCGATCATATCTATCAGGGCTGCAAATACTGGGTGCATGTGCACCTTAGTGTACCCAATTTTGGAGCTATGCACCCAATTATTTTCTGTGGGTGTACCAGTGCACCAAAATGTTTTTGTAGGTTTATGTACTGCATATGTCAAGATGTTAAATTTAGAGTAGTAGTAGTATTCAGCATATTCTTATCATCTAAGTGTCAGAAAAATAGTAAAATCATTCTTGTAGTACTTTTCTTTAGAAACAAAACATAAGGCCACACCAATTTAATTTGTTGGTTCTCCGATTCGCCTCTTCGTTTTTTTCTGATTTGCAAAAAAAAAAAAATTTGATTCTGAAAAATGCTCATGTTTTGCCCCCAACAGTTGAGGAAAGTCCTTTTCTTCCTAGTTGTTACAGTTTTCCCATCTATCATTGCAGTGGTTTGATTAAAAGTTCAAAATTCAATGTTTAAATTTTAACCCAGCCTTTTGTGTTGACTTCATAGCTCATTCCGTAGCATTTAAGTCTATAATAGGATGCCTAGACCTGGGTTTTTTTTTTCGCCCTGTCGCTTCATATTTTTTCTGAAAAAATCCGAGAACCAACAAATTAAATTGGTGTGGCCTAATTAGTTTTCGCTGACACTCTACTTATTATTATCTTATATTTTGCGCCCACAAAAAATTTTGTGCAGCCAATTTTTTTAGGTTGGGTGCACCAGTGCACCTACTACCAAATTCGATCCCTGTGGGAAGAGATACTTACAAGTCGATGCTACTGTCTGTGAGAGACATGGTGTCGTCCGTCTGTTCACTGGACAGACTCTGCAGCTCGGAATCGTTCGCTGACGTGGCCGGCGCAGGCGCGTACGTCTGGTGGTACGGGTTCCCTCCTCTCGTCAATCTACAGAAATTCACAAAAACAGACAGTCAATTCCTTTTGTGTCCATCTTAAGTGACATAGAACCATCATATATGTCACTCAGTACATCTCAGCAGGTTTGAGAATATGGTAAAACCTAAGATATAAAATAAAATATGAATTTCTAGACCACACAAAATAATTTGATTGTCTTGTTAAATCCTCACAAAAAATAAAAAAAAATATGCTAAAATGTTTTGACAATTTTATGAATGCAACATATCATTTGAGTACAGATAAAACCAAGTTTTTGTGGTTATATTTGCAAAGCATGGGGCAACATGTATGTATGTAATTGGGAAAAACACTGAAAATTGCTGGGAGGGTTCATAGAGGACTGGGATTTTTACTATGTCCAACATTTATTTGGTGAAATCTGGAGCCTTGGCCTAATGTCCCCTCCAGGGCTGGCCATGCACACAGGGTGGCCAGCTCCAATGTCTGTCTAAACAAGGCTGATTCTGTAGTTTAGGTGCAAGGTTTAGCAGTGACGTCACAGCCCACATTCTCACAGCAAAAACAGACGTGTGCTGGAAAAAAATCTACCTCCACATCCTTACCAAAAATATGCCGAAATGTGTTTGGTTGGCCACAAAATCGTCAACATATTCTATCAGTGATTACTTATTATCTAAATCACTAATATTTGATTGTATTAAACCAATAGAGGGGTGTTGTCCATCTCTACACAACAACTACTACAGTATCCCCCCTGACACTTTTATAGACACTCAACCTTGGGGCCCTGTTTACTGGGCTGACTCCCCTCCTGAGAGGTTGAAGAGGGCAGCCAGTCCCTTTCCCCAGGAAAAAGCTAGCGGCTCTTTGGTGGCAGAAGGATCCCATTAGCCAGTGCAGGTTTCCCCACTGTGCCCCCCAGACTGATTCCACCCCCAGGCCATACAAGCTATGGACACCACACAGGACTCTGTGCCTCCTGCCACCACACAAATTAGCTCCAGATTTGGTATGCATGACTGTAGACCAGTACTTTTCAAACAGTCTTCCCTCTCTCTCTGTCTCAAAGCCCTTTTCTGGCCTCTCACACTTGAATGCCTACAGAGACTTTCAGTAGACTGGTCTTCATGTAGTTGTAGACTCAAGATTCTTAAATCATTATCTAGATTGACCTTTGTTTTCTAGTACTGATAAGATGGCTACTTTATACATGCCTCCAGGGGGCCATTTGCCTAACTGGAAACTTTTGCTAGGCTAAAGAGCTAGCAAAAATGCACCAGCATTTCCTAAACAATAACCTCTGTGCCAGAAACACACAAGAAAAAAACAACCTTTTTTGTTTGAAATAATCTAAAATTTAGCTTCCAAGCCAGTAGAAGATATACATCTTTGGGACAACTGGCACTGGTACAGATAAAAAAAAATTACTTGCACCAAAAAATGTACATGCACAACAAAAAGTAGTGCCATTATAGTATACAGTTCTTCTCTGCTATAATTTTAAATAATCACAGGTATATGGTGTCAACTCCTGCAAACAAATATTAAGATCCAAAACTGATGGATACAGAAAAATCACAAATCTTGTTGTTTTTACACAAATTTTCATCTGAACAGATCACTGACTAATTTATCAAAGGCCCTCATCACTGATATCTGTTCGCTACATGTGTACATCAGATTATCTCTTCTTGTTACGTAATATAATATAAATCCTACCAAAAACACAAAACATCAAGGTTTCTATCTTGTTGAGACTGTGCTGTTGATATGTGGTGTGAACAGGGTGTTGAGAGTGTAAGGTGCAGTTCTACACTGGAAGGTATAGCCAAACAAACAAACACAGCTCCCAGGATCACCCCAATCTGTTATGTGATCTGGGTGAGCAGACTGTGCTTTGGGATTCCTATATCCTGTACTCAACACACAAGGAACAAGCTTTATACACGTTTTTATATTCCTGTACAAAGCTACCAACTTCCTTTTCTTACAGATACAAAACTCATGCAGTATTCTTATTCAATGTTCGGGTAAGACTACAGCTAAAGTCATTCCTATTTGGAATTTGGGGGGACAAAAAAGCCATTCTTTCATGGCTTAGGCCCATGTGGATGCTTATGTTATGCCCCTATGTATGCAGGCCACACTGACTGACCATTGACTAAACAGTGCTGTGCAACCATGCAGTACCAGTTACTGAGAACACCACTGTCTACTTTATGCTTTCAAAACTAAAACCTTAGCTGTGCTGGTGAGATTGAGAAGAAAATAAGGATGATTTTTCTTACCTTTCTCTGTCTCTACTGTCACTCCTGAGCCTTATTTGTGAGGTAGCTAGAAGGTGTTCTGCCGTCAACGGAAGTGTTCGTGTCTCCATCGTGTCTTCGGTACTAAGTTCAACGTTTTCGTGTAGCGTTGGCAGAGGAGCTAGTATCGCTCCCGTTGTCAAGTTTCCCACGTTACCGGACGTATTCGCCAGTTCCGTCACTACTTGGTTAGGTGAGACTTCCCCGCCATTCCGGCAGTACTGTAGGTAGATATCACTCTCTAAGAACAGTCTGTAGGCATTTTCTTCCATGAACTTTTCTATCTCCAATTGCGCCTGGTCAAATATAGATATGTCCAATGGCTTACAGTCTATATTTTTGGCTAAGTACTGTTTTGTTCCAGGCTTTACTCTGTGACTCAGGATTCCTTTCCCCTCTTTGATATACTTGGCGTAGACAACTTTTGCTAGTCTCTGTGTTTTGTCGTCCAAGGGGTCCAACTTTTTGTAGCCGTTGACGGCAAAGTAGAAATCCAACAGATGCTTGGAGTCTTCGTTCTCTAGGTATAATCCAAACAACTGGCTACCGTCCTTGTCCGACAATAACGCTTGCAGGTTGTCCGCCCAGCGTAGGTACGGCGGCGTAGGCGACGCGCTGCCCTCTGGTTCGAATCCCAAGTCGCAGTTAGTCCGTCTTGGCGTACCCGCCGACGAGTGAGAGTAGTCCGACTTGGAGTAGTCTGATTTTGTGGAGTATTCACTCTTGGTGTTGCTGGAGCCGCTGTGCTGGCTTCCATGGTTGGATTCCGTCTCCTCGCCGGGTACGGGCGGCCGCGCGCTGGTGGGTAAGTCCTCGGTGAACTTGCTTCCCCCAGTGTCCTGGAGATACTCCTGTACACCAATACTCATGGTGCTGGGGGGAGGGGGGCACTCCAGTCCCTACTCAACAACAATTTACCATCCAGTGGGAACTCTGGCTCACCTAGACTCGCTCCAAACCGATCTGTTTCTGAAACAAATGATACAAAACAAATGTTAACTGAGATTGCTTATAAGGATATCCATGTAACTCCCAGCTACTATTTGAATGTATGCTATATGCTACTTGACTAACTTGAGTAATATTATATTTTCTTTTCCCATCAAAATTACCATGGTGTATTTCTAACACAATCAGATGCCTAGAACATACATTGTAGAAAATGATAAGATTTGAATGGTAGATGCTTAGACAACCTTGCACACATTAGCGGCTCTAGTTGCAAGGATATGTATGGCGGCTGGATGAAAAGGCCCTAGACATGCATATACAGCATGCTTTTTTTACCGTCGGCGGCAACCAAAATGCCCTGCAAATGAGTCTAACACACAGAAGCATCTTTCATGCAAATGTCGCTGACAAGCGGCAAAATAAAGCACAACACACGCCACTGATATTCAAATCGCGGGACTACTTTGCGGTAGAACAAAGTCGGAACAATGTCACAATTATAACACTGTATAAGAAAGGATGGCCCCCTCCCCACTTCTATCAAATTATGCCGGAAAAGAAAACACCTTGGCTGGGCACATTTTTCTTCATTTCTAAGGACAGGAAAATACATTTGGTGGTCTCAAACTGTTTCTGCCGACATGTGGGGGTGTTGTGTATTTCAGAGGTCGCGTATTCTGACTGCAATCCTTGCTTTTTGAAATGGATCTGTTTTGAAGGGACTGAGTGCTGGGGGTCACACCGCGGGTCACGGACATTTCGCACGCTAAAAGCCAGCTCCCCGGCCCGCTTTCCGACAGAGTTTTCCAATTATTTCCATCACACCACACAGCCCTATCGCCACGATTCTTATTCTTAGTCTAGACGACAAACTATTGTAATTTTACTGACTAGCGGTCAAGATTACGGGAACCGTGCTGCCTAAAATAACCAACACAACCTAAACGTCATCGACAAACAGTTTGAGTAAAAAAAAAATCAGTATGAAAGGTTACATATGAATACAGTGGTTTAAAATGGGTGAATGGTTTGCTCTTTTGAGTCGCGCGGTTGCTTGTGAGATGCAGGAAAGAGGGCGGGCGCCAACTTACAGTAATGCCGACCAGTAACAACCACACACGCGGCGTACCGACCCAACGGAAAAAACAACCCTCAAAGCGCAGACATTTTTAGGTCCAGAACCAGTCTCTCGGCTTCATTTTAGTGAATTACGTACAGATAGAAGCTAAGTATGGTCGGGGAAGGGAGGATTGTCTTGGTACGGGGCCCCGTCAGGCTAGGAATGCCGTGTGCATGTGTCTCTAGCGGTGAAACGGCCGAACCCGACTGCAATCAAATTTGCACAGATAAAAGACTTGCCCCCGCGGCCCCTCCACCACAACACGCCGACTTCGCCCGACCTTCCCACCAACCCAGCCCCTCAAAATCTATCTCCTGACCCACAGAAGGCCTACAAACAACCTTGTGCTATGCTACTATCACAAACAGTTCGAAAATGCAGCGGCGCTGCGCTATTTTTAAAAGGCAACGGCAAGCCATATTAAGATTATAGGGAATCGAGTTTACCTCTCGAGCCTGGGCTGATCAAACAACGACTACAGCGATCTAGCTCGACAATATGGCGACACATTACCTCAGAATCGCACCAGGGAACACTTAGCTATCCCCCTTACCTCCATAGTTAGCTGTATATCCACTCCATGGCGAGGAAAAGGTAGAATTTGAAGCGTTGTGGAGCGAGGAAGTTCAGCTTGCTGGTCGGCCGCACAGATCAAAGCACATGCCGCCAACTCCCCGGGGCCGTGACGTCACCGTGTGTACTGAGCCGCACCAATCAGAACACGGAACTAAGGAATCAAAAGATTCACACCGCGGGGGTGGGCAGGACTCGATTTTTTTATTCCAACAACGAGATGGACCAGAATTTTACCCCAAAATATAAATTTTGCCATACATATGAATATATATTAATAAAATCGATAATAATGTTCAAACAGGACTACTACATTCAAATTGTAAAGGATTCTTCAGAAGTTATTTCTCACACAACGTGTTAATTATATGCTTTACACTTAAAAATCACATACTGTTGTAACATTTTTTTCAAAACTTTGCTTTCTGAATTTTTTTGTTACATTCTTGTGATTATCTGATGAAAGAAACATCCCGAGGGTTGGTTGAGAGAAGGTAGGTACCGGATGCAGCGATTGTTATCCTAGCTGAATGCACCGGTCACCCCTCCGCCGAAGTGGGTTGTCTACACACAACAAAAAGTAGCAATTATCGACTTGAGTGGGGAGAATTCGGAAGCCTTTGAAGACCAGCGCCCTGTATTTTGATACACTTATATCAATCACAGATGGCGGGCCGGACGGCAGGACTCGTATTTCTTGGTAAATTACGTCCGTTGCGTCGTTGTCAAGGTGTTGTGCTGTGTCTTTAGGCCTGGTAGCGCCGTTTTTGAGGAGACCGGGGACGGCACGGACGCTGCGCTGGGCCTGACTCGGAAGTGGCCCTATCAACAGTACGCTGAATTGCCGGCATATAAATTAAACAATGTCGGTTCGATTCATCCTTTTGAAGTGGGTCGCGGTGCCGAAACTCAAACAGAGAGATAGACAAACCGGCTCGGTTCGCGGGCCGCCTGCCTGCGTTGCCGGGTGTACAGTACAGTGGGCCCCGCCTGTTTGAGTGCCGCGGGTCGGGACCATTGAGCCACCCCGTCGGCATGCTGCAGCAGTCTTCCCGCCACTGTAACAGCTGTAAGTTGGCGGGATCGCGGTGCCAGATGGCACGGGGAGAGAAAAGGAGACGGAACCTTTTCGCCTGGTGTAGGTCTAAAATGGTCGTTTGTACAGTATATGGATAGGAATGCCGAAAAGCCTGAGGATATATGTATTCATTGCTCTTATTTTTTTGGAGGGGGGGGCGGCATTTTTGTACTACACCATGCTACATTATTATGCTACACCATGAAATAATATAAAACGTCTGTAAACGCTATGTTGTGTGTATCGACGTTTTTTAGAGATAAAAAAAGATGAAACAAAACATGAAAGTTTTGACCGGCCATGTTAGACAGATCTCCGCTGTTTTTCACACATCCACTCCGATAAAAGACTGGCTCACGGGAAGGTGCCAAGAGCATGGGTCTTATTTTCACCTGGGCAATAATTGTTTTACACAGTTATTCCCTGCGGCTTCGCACCTCATCATTTCCAACCACAAGTCAACTCACCGCCGGAACAATGCAACAACAACAATACAAGAAATTTACGTAGTCCAAAAAAGGACGAGTGTGAAATACACAAGGTCGAGAAATAATCATCCTTAACTTTTGTTTATAAGACTTTAAAAAATCACTAAAAAAAAATACTACATGTAGTAATCCCTCAGATAGAAATCAATTTTCGCACGTTTTTTTTTTTGCAAGTGGAAAATATTATGTTACCGTTGAAATTTCAAGTTGAACTTTACTTCAAAGTGTCTGAAATGAAAGGAAACACATCTGGAGAAATAATACTATTAGAAGCGCGCTGTTTTATTTTCGCCACGGGTCGGCCGGATCGGTGTACAAAACATTACTTACTGCCCGCCAACAAAAGGCATACATCCACTCGTTTGGAGCGGAACCAGCTAAAAATTTGCCTAAATCAGGGCTGAAAGAACAAAAGCGGGCGGTGCTTTGATATGATTCGCGGCGGAGCGTCAAAATGCGGGCAATTCCGCCCGCGGCGCCCCGCGCAAAACGCCGACAAGCGGCACAACTCCCATTTAGAACATGGCCACCTTTCCTCAGCCAATCAGGAGCCTGTATTTCTTGTGACTAAATCCACATAGTGTGGTCCCCAAAGGGACAGGGGTGTACTAACCAACGAATAAATTAGACTAACTCGGAGACGCCCATGTACTAACCAACGAATAAATTGACTAAGTTGGAGACGCCCACCATTCACATGCAAATAAAAAAAATTAACAACACAGGAAAACAGCAATTTGATCAATTTTCCTGTACATCTTTATTCAAAAAGGTAAACAAAAGAAACTCATGACAATGACAGTGAACAACGAACAGAGAATAAATAATGAGTATGGATGAAGCAAAAAAAATCAGAGGGATTCTTACAAATGTCAAGTAAAACGAGAGTTTCTCATACATTGTAAAAAAAAATGAAACACAGAAGCTACAAACTTTTAGCAATACATTGAAATGATGCAAAGTCTTCCCAACATGTCTAACACGATTCGCACATTCTTAAACTTTGAAAACAAAATACGGTAAAACAAAAAGAAAAGAATACACCGACATGGTTGGACAGCAGAGAAGGCACTGGGCGAGGGAGGGAAGGGTTAGAGCATGAACATGTCAGCCTGGGAACAGAACACGCTGGCAGAAAGACCCCACGACCAACTTCTTACAGATCAGATCAGAGACTGCTGTCTCAACAGACAAACCTGAATTTTTCAACTCAAAAACAGAAGGCATTGTGGGGCTAGCATGACAAGAAATCAACCGCCATGCATATTTCACACAAGGCTGCGAACAGAAGCTCAGCTGAAATTCATGAATGAGAACAAAAGGACGCACTACAAGCTGTAATGTTGTTGGTAATGTTTCTAGGAAAACAAATGAGTGTTTTTTATTTAAAACAAAAAACATGATTGTGTAAAATGTGTTTCTTTTGCTTCGGAAAGATGGCCATGTTCTAAGTCAGTTAAAGGATGGGCGAATTGCTCGTATATGTGGATTTGGTACAGCCCCGCACCCCCCTCGGATTTTGTTGGCACCCCTCGGGCTCCGCCCTCGGGATGCCAACAAAATCCTTGGGAGGGCGGGGCTGTACCAAATCCACATAAACTCGCTCCGCCCATCCTTTAACTAATACCTGGGACGGCGGGCAGAGTGGGGAAAACCCCTTACATAACCCATTATTTCATTGTAAAATTCAGAATATTAAAGTTTCGGGACGTTCAAAGCGAGTGACGGCAAATGTACATATGCTGTATCGGTGATTCGACGTCCCCTGGAGAAATGAGGCGAATGAAATTATACTAGTAGATAGGACACGGCGCACGTAAATACAGGGACTCGCAAAAAATCTGCCTTTGATGAATAATTTAGATATCTTTCAGCAAGGCCGCGTCATTTCTGGCGATTCATGTGTAATAAATTCGGAGATATCAAACGAATCGGTAAAAAAAAAAAAACTATTCACGATGCCGACAATATCAAAGACAGACTACTTCAGAATCTATGTATCTACATGTACCTCTAGTCTTTTCAACAAAAAAAAAAAAACTTCGCAAACAAAATATTTATATCATACCTACACACTGTTGTAAAAAAAAAATCGCACTCTTTTGTACAGACAATTTTGGCCCTCGATCACTCGAAAATAAACTTTCGGATTTGAAAGGGAACGTTCCTCTGTAATCATTTCGATAAAAAACGACGTTATGAGCGCATGGACTGAAAGGACACGACCGCAGACTAATGAGAAGGAGCAGGTGCACCCAGCAGATACGAGTACGAGTACACTCCAAGCAGAGGTTTGGGGTTTGGCTTATTTTTGGCGTGTTTTTAGGCCTTTTTTTATCGGGTTTTCTTTTTTGCACTGGTGTCTAACCTTTTTTTTACGCCAAAACAAGTGGGGCTGCAAAATATAAAATTTTTCCCTTTTTTTTACTAAAAAAGAAAGCCCGATAGAAAATGCCTAACATCATGCTAAAAATATGCATGCCAAAACCCAAACCTCTGCTTGGAGAGTAGTAGGAAAGGGGATAAATGGGCATTATGTAACATTTTCACCAAAAATTGATTTAGTGAATATTATAATTAAAAAAAAAATCTTCATGTGATTGTAATTCACTTCCGTTTTTCAATCATATCTGTGCTATTATCTCGTTTCTGGCATTCTTGGCATGCGCGGTAAAACAGCCCACACGAAACACACTCAGTTTGTGGTGCCACCACAAAATACCAGAATGAATGTAAACAAACATGACAGCTTTTAGATGCATTCGTATCGTTTTGGCACCTTCACTTCCTGAATGGCACTTTTTTGCATTGGAGTAGGGTTGATTTGTACCAATGATGCTCTGATAGAACATCGTACTTCGTAAAGAAATGACAAAAATTGACTTTTTATTTCGTCCTATTAAATGCTACAAAATGAAGCTTTAAAGGTGCTTTTTACAGCTAAATCATGACATCATCTTTTTAGTCCTCGTCTAAACTTTTAATATACATACACATACCTAACATAATAGTATTCCTCGGTATCTAAGGTACATGTACTAGTAAATTGATAAAGGTAGCATTTCGTTTTCATTTTCATTGGAACCGAAGAAGATATGAATGGGTTTTTCTTTTAAAATTTCGGTAATACATGTACATAACCTTGCAAAGAAACAGCTAGATTTCGGTATTCCACTGATAGTATTTCATTGTTTCTTTTCTGATGAACATAATAAAAAACTGAAATAAACAAAAAATAATCTGGTTATCATACTTGTAATCTAGTGACTTAATTTTGGATCAAGCCACACTAATATAATATCTTGCTTTTCTGGTATATGCTGCATTACTTTATCATATGTAAAAATAAAAACATAACATGGAACAGAATATAAATTGTTTTTGCACTTGGATACTTGGTCATGTGGAGTTTAATACAATATTTTTTGAATTTTTAGATGCCAAATATTTTCCATTTGAAACCTAATTGTTTATTGGTAATTAACCTAATGGTAAAGCCCAAGCTGAGGCCACAACAACTGAATTTGTTGGTTCTCGGATATGCCTCTTCATTTTTTCTGATTTGCAAAAAAAGA